TAACACTTGGCTTTATTATTACATAAGTGCAGCAAGAAGAGCAATTGATTACATAGGCTCTTTTAAATGTACTTTGCTGGAACTTTCTGTAAGGAATTTCAGATTGGACTTTTAAAGGCCTCTTGAGGCCAGACAGCTAAGCCAGACTTGCCATCAGGTTTTGCCTGCATTACCTGTAGATTTGGGTGAATTCCTCTCTTCTCAAGGTCCCCAAGACATCCTGAGGTTCCTGCACCTGCCAGGAAGTAACCTTCCTTATTCACCTGGTAAGGCTGCTAGGAACCCTGTAAGCAAGGTACCAGGCCAGTTCTTCCAAGGGGCTTTGTTGGCTTTATAAAGTCAACCTTAGTTCCTTAAAGCTGTTTGTATCTGAGTTAATGCACGTGTCTCTCAGGTATGACATTCCAGTCAAAGCCTTGGTAGTATAACCTGTGTTTTTAATTGGTCCTCTTACAAGGAAAGCAGGTTCTTATTGAATTTACGCAAATAAACATACTGCCATGAAATGTAAAAATTGTCACTGAGAGTTTTTAAATTCTGGAGGGGTCAGGTAGAGAGAAAGATAAGTTTCAATTCTGCTTATAAAGATAGTCATTGACTAAACTGTTGTCGGCTTGAGAAGGAGCTTAAAACACTTTATCAGCAACATTTGAAACAAAAAGCCACAAAATCATCTTCCTTAGTTTACTTAATCCTATGTAACTAATACTTGTTCTGCTGAAATCTAGTTCTTTACTAGCTTAGGAGTAATAAAACAGTGGCTATAAATGACAAAAGACTTACAAATGACAATGGTTAAAGATCTGATGGAAGCTTACTATAAGACAGTTGACATAAGGAAATTTGGATATTTCTGTAACACAAAACATTCAGTAACAAAGTTTAGCATCATTCCCTATGACGGTGCTTTCCAGGTAATTAAGCAGGTAATTATATATCAGATAAATAAGCCAAATTAGCCAAATGCTTTCTCCAATGAGAAAAAATTCTTCTGACATGTTCCAGGGGCCCTCTGGAAAATATCAGAGTTAACTAGAGGTAAAAGCACCTTTTTGAATTTGATTTTTTTTTTTTTGGCACTTGCTTAAATAGGATTATAGGTTGCCATGAAACAATGCTTATCTATTTAACCAGAATGACAACAAAATACCTCAAAGGCAAATAAAGCTTACACAGTTGTTAGCAAAGTTAGCTTTTAGTCCTTTTAATATTAAGATCTCATTTTCTTAAATACTCCGACAACTCACTGAGACTTTAACCATGAGAAACTACTTTGATAAAACAATTAGAGAATGCTTTGCCATCTTTCAATATTAAGAGCAAACTAACAGTTAAGAAAACTTTGTCCTTTTTAACTGAAAACAACATTCTAATTTTGCTGTGTAATTGATACTGAGACTCATTTGCTTTAATTTTATATAGCATGACCATATTAAATTCTTCCACAAACTTTCTATAATCTTCTTTTTACATTTAGAGTTCTCCCTTTAAATAAACACCTGTATTTTAGAACAAAGTTATTTTCTTTTGTCAAAAGACACATTCTTCAGCATGAAGAAATGTTTTCCTTATTACTTTAAGTAGTTTTAATTAGAATTTAAAACCATTAGGTACCTTAATTTTTAGTGAACACTGAGAAGCAGGCTATTGTAAACTGTTACACGAGCATTCTTTGACAAATTTATGAACACATTTTATAATTTCTGTAACCATGAGCTTTACAGCACAATCTCTCACTAAGCACAAAGTAGATCTTCATAATTTAGCAAAACTTTAAGGTTTTAGGTTACTGCAAAGATTCTCAGGCTGTAAGTAGGTATACATACTGTAACACACAATTATTATTAAGAAGTTCACTTGCTATGTTTAGTTTACTCATTCTTAACAACTATGCTAGATTACTTACAAAACTTTTACTGAATATTAGACAATGTCAAGCCTCTAAGCATTTTATTCTTGAAAAATTTAGCAGATAACATCAACTTAAATGACTTTAGGTAAACTTAGGCAACTGATAACCATAAGGACATGTCTGTTTCAGTTCAACTTAAATTAGCATTAATGCATAATATTTTCTATTAGAATTTTCTGGAAGTTTTAGAATACCCAATTTTCACAAGTGCTTGTCTTTAAATAAAATTTATTAATACCATCCAGAGGTAGAAAATCTTTCATTTACATGCTTAGACACACAAACATATAGATTGAGACATAATGATTACAGTTAGCAACACTTTTCATAAAAGAACATACACACAGACAGATAAACTGATAAAGAGATTTGAGTTACTGGTATCCAATTGCCTTTCCTTTTAGCTTATTTGACTAAAAGTATCTCAGTTCTCAAGAAAACACTCTATGGGTGAGCAGTTTATATAACTGGGTTAAGGTTTAGATGGCCCCAGACTAACAGGGCTGATGAAGGCTCTGAACTGATAAGGACTGTGTGTTCCCAGGTGGCTGGAAATGAAAGTACAATTCTAGCTCCAGTCATTTAAAGCCAGGCTGTGTTGCAGAAGATAAATTTCTTCTGTTTCAGGGATAGTTTAAAAACCTCCCAATTTTTGAAGGTAATGAATCCAATAAGTAGAATAGATTTCCACCAAAATAATTTAGAAAACTGGTTCCATATTGTAGTAGTTCACGGGACTTTTGACTATTTTCCTTCCTCGCATTAAAATAAATTTGGTTGCATAACCTTATTATATTGTATACTTCTCTCAGGGGCCAAGCCTCTCCATTAGAGAGTTTGTATTGAGGCCAGGCTTGTGTGCAGAAGATAAAGCACTTTTTCAGGGTCTGGGGATCAAAATTGCTCCCAGTTATTTAGAATGCAAGCTAGAGCCGTGTCTGGCTTTAAACTTGAAGAGGAAGCTCCCACCTGCAAGAGAGAAAGACAGGTGTTTGACACCTGGTCGGCCAAAATTTTCTCTCTGTGAGAGTGTCCCCTCGCCTTGGAGCCTGGGTGACAGTGGCCAATCACCTCCTCTGCCAGGCCTACTGGATTTAACCACTCCTTACCAGTATGGCCTGTTACCTTGCCTTGATTCCCCTCTTGCCTTCCCAATCAACAAGAGTCACCTCGGAGCTCTGAATTTAGTGGGACCTTACCACTGTGCTCCTACTTTATGCCTTCTGGGAGTCCTGATCCAGACCCTTGTTTCTCTCCATGGGCTTCAGCATAGTCCACTCAGGCTGCAGATAAGGAAATGCCTAGCCCCAGGAAGACTGCCTCCAAGGAAGAGAGATCAATAGAGGAGAGCCATGGCTAGAATTTAAATGGGGCCATTTACATGTACAGTTATGGAGGGGGTTGTCTGTACTCAAACACCAGTTTATGCCACTGCCTGGGATTTAGCCAGTCACCCACTATAACAAATCTGATCTGTGAAACAAGAGGTTGGGGAGTTATCTGTGACTCTCGCATAGGCAGCAGCCTAGCCAGAGGTTCACTCAGCACCATGGGATCAATCAGCCGGGGCAGAGATCCAAGGACCACCGTCTACTAGTCCGGTCTGCTCTCGGAGCCCCCAGATTAGGAGAGGAAAGTAGGAAATCAGCTCAGCCACTCTCTGACATTCCCATCCATCCAGGGGCAGGAGATCAAGGAGCTGCAGACACTGGGAAACCTTTCACCTGAGACTTAAGACTGGTAGCCGACGCTAATCATCTTTTAAGTGGCTAATGGGTACTCAGACACATTTTTATGAGATAAAAAGTACATCATTTAGTTTGGAATAAAGGCGGAGCGTAGGTCTCCTGCCTTGAGGTGGTGAGCATCGGGTTCCATGAAATTGATGAAGTTAGAAGGGAGTTAGGAATGCCCCCTGCCTCACTGAGGCCAGGGTGGCCCAGAAGCAGGCTGGAAGTCAGAGACAGAAAGAGACACTCCTCACGGACCCCCAGGCAGGCTGTTGGGGTCTGATTCCAGACACGCGGGCCTTTGAGAAGCCGCTGAAGTGTAGCCTCAGCCTGGACTCTTGCAGTTGCCCATGCCTTTCCTCAGTCCCTCACATCTGAGGAGACGCCTCTGAAAGGGAATCCTGGCTTCCACTCAGCTGACATTCCCGGCTCCCAAGGGAAATGGGGGATCCACTGAGGGAGATGCAGGGGAACCCGTCACTTGAGACTTTGAGATCGGCAGCCAGGCTAGTCCCATGTAAGTGGCTGATGAGCCCCCAGTGTTGTGTGCCACAGACGGCTTCCTTCTGAGGACAGCAAAAGAAAAGGCAGGCTAGGATGCCGATACTCACCTCCGAAGTTATCCCGGACGAGCCCCCAAAGATGATGCCTGGTGTTCTTGTTTGCAGAGCCAAAGAATGAGCTTCACAAACACTCAAGGTAGGAGAACAAGGTACAGGCTTTTATTTAGAGATAAAGTGAGAGAATAGAGCTCCTGGCTCACACCAGGAGGGGACAAGAGAGCCCATAGTGGTGTGTTGTCTAGGGGGTTTTATAGGCAGTTGAGGATTTTTCGAGAACATGAGAAAAACTTAGGGGCGTGGACTTGTACCACCTGCCCTGTCCTCAAGGTGGGCTGGGTCACAGTCTGATTGCTACAGTGACAGCAGAGTCACGGGTCATGCTGATACCCTTGCAGAACACTCAAACATTTCAGGCCAAGTTGCTTCCAGCCTTTTGACCTTTAACTGATCTCACTGAAGATGTCTATATCTTTACCCTAGAGAATTAGTGTGACCTTGACTTTGCATAATGCTTAGCACAGACTTTCAATAGGGACTTCTTTGCCCATTGTTACATTGCTCTGACTGTAAATATTCCGCCCTGCTTTTCCCAGAGACCCTCACCCTACTCTGACTACACCCACCGTCCCTGTCTCATTATTCTGTTAGTCTAACTCATTATTTTTTGCCCATCTTTTCTATGCAAAAAGCAATGAAATCATGAAGGAAAAAGTTTATTATATTCAATTCTACAAAATTTAAGAAAATTTGTATAGAGATTAAAAACACAAATGGTAGATTTGGGAGACTATTTGAACAAATATGACATACTTATTAGTGACACATTATTGTTAAATCTCTACTGCTCAATACAGTTTTGGGATGTACTGAACTTCTTTGCAGGTCCAGCTTAGGTGAGGTGGGGCCTGGGGCTCCTGTGATCATTGCCTTGGCGCCGTGTCTTAACCCGGAAGCAGGGTGTCGGGCTCTGGTGCTGGTACGTCAGGGACTGCGGCGCGGGCCTCTCCAGCGGCAATGTCAATGTTTCACTTCTTCAGAAAGCCCCCAAAATCTAAGAAGCCCTCGACACTGGAGACAGAAGCAGATACATTTGTCCTTTCAGCCACTTAAAGGGGATGAGTTTAGTGCACAGACATCTTTGAGAGCACACTCAACTTCTAAAGCTGGACCTCGGACACGCTAAACATCTTGTTCACCTGCATAGGTCTGTCGCCTGCCACTTTGCAGCATTTCAGAGAGCAGCTCTATTAAGTAGTTGGAAATTGATCTGAGTCATGTTTGAACATTCTGGAAAAGGAATTAAGCATATTTTCTAACTAGTAAGAAGCACCATATCCCTCACCAGGCATAGATCTTCCTAAACGTTTAGTCTCAGAGCAAGAACACTCAGGCTTTTCATGTTCTTTGGCATTAATGGCTGTAACACTTTGAATTTCTGGCAGTGGCATCTGTCTTGAGAGACTCTGACCCCCTGTACTGTTGGCCCTGAGTGAGGAAGACTTGCTTCTTGGGCATGCGCACCTCAGCAAGAATCTGTGACTCATTCTAAGTAGACCCAGCATCTTTTATGTGTATGTTGTTGTAAGTTAAGTAGCATTATTCACATTAACAGTTTTATGCATTCATAGTTGGGGTTAGTAAGACAAAAGTGAAAGAGTGAGCTGAATCATCAACCGTTAATCTATAGAAGGCTCTTTTAAACTCTACTGTATCTGCATGTGTTTCTGATAAAACTATTACCAGTATGATTTGTTTTCTGCATGAGCTCATATGAAACTTGCTCTTTCAGAGCCCAAGTTGGTAGGAATAATTATGTAGGTTAGAAAACAAAACAAAACAAAACAAAAAACCAAATATGGTCACTTTTGTAAGGTATCACAATAAAGATGACTTGGGAAAAAAAAAAAAAACTAGCCAGGAGAGGAAAATGTGCTTCTCAAGTTCTGTGTCTAGAAATAATCCACCACCTTCAATTGCATTTGTATTGGCCCAAACTAGTCAGATGCCCACATAAAGATGCAAAGGAGTGTGGAAAATTGTGGTTCTCAGCTTTCCAGTAAAAACTTTGCATGTGAAAAGTGGAGCACTGATCTTTGCTGATTAACCAGTTGTCTGGCACACTTGCTTACCAAAGAAATTGAACCTTATTCTGCTTTGGAGAGCAGAGGAGTAAGAGAACCAGTTATGCCTGTTAGAAGAATCTCATTGTTCACACTATGCATTAGTCTCCTCCAGCAGCATATTTCTGGACAAAATATGTGGAAACATAGATGCCTACTTGTGACTCATTGTTTTTAAAATGAATAGTAAAATCTATACTTTTCTGGATTATGAATTTTCTTACTGGAAATTAAGAAATTTCCCAGCAAGGAAGCATACTTAAAGGGTGATTGGTTACTCAGGAAAGAAAAAGATATTCGAGTTGTATATTTTGAAGAACAGCAAGTCACAAAATAAGAAACAGTAGGTCATTCAAAAGAGATGAGGGGAACAGCAGCTTGGGGCTTAGCTCTGCCACCAATTGTGTGTGACCTGGCTCGACCTCTTGACACCTCCATGACTTCAGGGGAAAAAAAGACAGGTTGGACTTAAGGATTTTTTTCAAAGCTCATCATCTGTGAGTCTGAGCACAAATATAGAAAAGCTTCACTCCTGGAAAGATGGAAATAATGCCATCATATATACTTCTGATTGCTAATTAATTTTCTCACCTATTAAATAACCCATGCCCCAAAAAAGTTAGGAGAACCATGGATTTTTCCTCCTTTGCATAGTGTTCCCTTAGCAACAACAGCAACAGAAACTGCTCTGAACCTTGGTAATGATAAATGAAGAGACATGTCTTAGAATTCTTTCCCAGGAACAGAAAATTATCTCAGCTTAGAATTCACGTGAGTCCTCAGTTTCAGCAAGAAAAAGTACCTGTATCATTTCCTCCTCATTTCCTGAATTCTAACTTGAGGGAATTTCCTGAAAAAGTGAGAAGGGCATAGTGTGTTTAGAGATAAGTAAAGCAGCTAGTTCTGTATCTGTTCTCAGAGTCACAGTCGAAAAGAGGTGGTACTCTGGGCCCTGCTTGCAGTGAAATGTCGACCAGATAAATCCCAAGCTTAAATCATAAGAAATAAATCTTTGCATCTTGGATGCATTTATGGAGTGCTCCATTTCTTTGGGAAAAGTTTTATTTCACTCATGGCCAAAACTGTTTTTTATGGATTTTTGGTTTTGTCCCCAGAAACTACAAATTGGAAGAATGCATATATGAAACTGGGATGTTTACCCATATTTATGAACCATCTTTCTTAGAGAAAAATTTCCAGTTGCAGTAATGTTAATTGCTCTTTCTCCTCAATGAAGCTTTCAACTGATTAATTATCCTTCCTGGTTTTATTCCAGTCTGTCATGAGAGTATTAAAAGCTACTAGAACAAAGAACTGCTACTTATACTAAGAATTTATACCAAATTATTATAGTTAATACTGTAGTTAAGTGGATGGATCATTTCTTCAGAAAATTATGACTTATCTATTATTTTTTTTTACAACAGAGATTGGCTGCTTTTCCAGATGCCTAAAATTGGGCTTTAGTTCAGGAAGTTTAAATAATGTTCTTTATCAGCTGAGCAAAAGTTTGTAATAGGGCTTCTACAGAGCAGTAGCCACCCCCAACTCCATGAGAAATCTAAGATAAAATCTCAGTAACTCTTGCCTGAACTTTTACTATGTGCCTGCCACGTAAGCTTCTCTCCAAGCTGAATGTGGCTCTTTACACCCCCCTTGGGTAGCTGCAGGTCAGTGTGAGTGGAGAGTGGGGACACAGCTTCCCCACATGGCTGGTTGGCCCAGCCACATTACACGATACAGCCACTGACCTGTATTTCCTTAAAGAATGGTTAAAAGACACGTTCGCAAATTGAGAGATTACACTTTCTAGCTATTCAATATTTATTTGTCTAAAATCTAAAGTCTCATCATTATCAATCCAAAGCAGTTGTTTTGGAAAATTCAACATTTGTGGTTGCTGTAAAAAACACAATCTGCCTTAGTTTAAACTCATAAATAATTGGAAAGCGATAAGGAAGCAAACTTGCCTCCCAAGAGTATCATGTATCTTACTGAGGGATTTCCTCCCAAACACAGTCATGTCATAAAATTTAAATAGAACAAAATTATTGGTACTTTCATTCCAAAAATAAAAAACTTTGGAAACTGCATGATGATAGGTAAATCCTTGCTTTGTGAAAATTAAACACATTCATATTAAGGCACTCAGATTATAAATTTAAAACTTTTCTCAAAGCTTTTATGTAATTTCCAACTTGGAGTAATTTGGATGTCGGCATTGAGTGCTAGTCAACATACTGAATTATTTGAGATGTAGCCAAGAAGAACAATTCTTGACAGATAAAGGAAAATCATGCTCTTAACCAGCCTTTGATGTGTGCTTTCCAATCATTTACAACTAAACTTGGCAGCAGCCAGAGTTTCAACCCTCAACAAGCCCCGTGCAGCAGAAGCACAACTTAGTCTTTCTGAACAGTTCAGGGGTGCTTATTCCACACTGGTGTTTCTCAAATACAGATGCAGATGTGAGCATGTAAGAGCTCTCCCCTCTACCTCAAGCACCAGAGGACAGGCAGGGAAGATGGAAACAAGGTGGGAGAACAATTCGGGGCAGGCAAAGACTCAGAGGGAAAAGGGCCAGGGCCAGTGTGGGAGCGCACCCGCATTTCACCGCAGCAGGATTTTGTGTCTGTTTGAGTCGGGTGGTGCAAGCCTCAATCACATCTGAATGTCCTGTGCTGCTTGTTGTTCCACTCCTGCCCCAAGCACGCAGACTGGGTCTCTTCAGCAGATGTCAGTGCCCTCCTACTATGCACAGAATCCTGTATGCCAACGGCTGCTGTGCCTGTTCGTAGGGTGAGTCAGAAGTACCAGAGAGTTCATCCTGAGAGCATCTCTCGGCCTGCCACACAGATGGACTGGTGGGTAAACAGCTGAGGGTGCTGAGCGCTGCTCCCCAGCTGCACTGCCGCCCCGGTTGCCCCCAGGCTCACTGTTTGACAGCATTCCTTCCCTGGTGGCTTTCCCTCTTCTGGCTCACTGGCTTTGCAGCTTTTCTAGGATCACATCCCAGATAAACTGCTTGCACATGAATCCTTGTGTTAGGGGTCCACTTTTGAGTGGGCATCAGAGGGCAAACTAAGCCAGTCTCCATGCCTAGTACAGAGCAGACAGGGAGAGGGTGCAGAAACAGAAACATGACTGCAACCATCTTGCATGTCAGGAGGTTTGGCTAGTTGTCTATGTCCCCTTATTTGCTTTCTGTTCCTTTCCTGGGTGTCCACCTTGGCTTCAACAGTTCGTTGTGCAGCTCAGCATGGGCCACCTCCTTGACTCTGTGCCTGCCCCTCATCAGTGACAGACACCCGCCTCCCAGGGCTCACTGGGTGCTGTTGTTAGTGTTGTTTCTGTTTTTCTCCTGAGTGTTTAAACAGTCCTGTAGGGCTGTCTTGACCTTTCTTGATTGTGACCCAGAAATGAAGGAAAACTTGTAAGCCTCGTCCTGGGCCAAAGGGTCAGGTGAGGCACTGGGTGGTGACAGTGGCATCTGTGAGGGAAAGTCTCACAAACCAGACAATTCTCAGGATCAGCGGTCAACCTCGCAGAGCCCAGCCTCTGCTCCCTCACTGTCCGCGGAGGGTTACGGTCTGGCTCAGGCACAAGAGCCCTGGGCTTTTCTTATGGAAGCCAAGAGAAATGTCACTCCATCAAGAGTTGTATTAGTTTCTGACCCTTTAAAGTTGGAGTACACACAATTCAGTCCTGAGAAGATCTAGAAAATTCCTGCTGAATCCGAATTACACCCTAACTGACCTCCCATAGAATTGCACCAGAGGAACAAATAAATCAGTTTTAGAATCTGGCTCAATGCCTTCCAACTTCTTAACATTTATTTAACTGAATGTGAGAAATATCTTCCTCTACTGTGACTTCACAGTTGATTCAAAACCTCTGGGCTTGAAAAATATATCTCACTTTGGTTCATGCCGGTAAACATCTGCCCTGATATGGTAAGTGGGGTCTGAAAATCAAGTGCAAAAAATTCAGGGTTCAATTATTGCAAGCTTAATAAAAACCAATGTTTCTGGGCATTCTATGTGGTCCCAGAAGGCACAAAAGTAAAGAGAGTGAAATTTCCCCTGCTTGCCTCTGATCATGTCACTGGGAAGCTGGCCGTTCCTTGCACCCTGTCATTGTGTTCCAGAGAGTCTAAGATCTTAGTCCCCTAAGGTCATGGGGATCTGTCCTTCAGCAACATCCCCACTGCCCTGAGCAAACTCTTCTCCTGTTCGCCTTTCCATGTCAGCTTCTTCCTGGGCCTCTGCTCTTGATCCCTGTTCCCTTACAGTCTGTGATCCTTTATAAGCAGGAATCATGACATGTCCCTCTTTGGCTCAAAACCTTCCCTGCATTCCATGGCCTGGCCCCTCCCCATTACCCTTTGACTTTGTGCTTCCTACTCACCCCTTTACTCACCCTTCTTCAGCCACGCTGCCTCTTCCCTTTACTCAGAGGCACCAGCTGTGCTCTGGCTTCAGGGCCTTCACACTGACTGCCCCTGCCATCCAACAAGGTGCTCCTGATCCTTCCTTAAGCACCAGAAGAGCTGGAATCTTGTTAGTTTTTTTCCCTGCTGTATCCCCAGGATCTACACAGTATCTCCCCAATATTAGGTGCTCAATGAATATTCCTTCAATGAATGCTGAATGAATGAACTCTCCCTATATTACCTCATATGCCTTGGTGACTTAAACTATCAATTTTATGATGAACCCAAATCCATGTCTCCAGTTGAGTCTTTATTTCCAAGCCTCAGATAATTGGTAGCCATCTGACCCTGAGCATCACCACTTGGACAACTCCCACACATCTCAAACAAAATATCCCAAATAGATAATTCTCTTCTATCTCTTTGCAAATCTCCTCCCCTTCCTCTGTTCACCATCTCCGGAAACGGTGTTGTCCCCACATTGTTGCAAGCCAGAAGCCTGAGACTTACCCTAGACTCCTTTCTCAGTCACCCACCCACTCAGTCACATCCAGTCTGCCTACCTCTCCAGCCTCATTTCATACCATGCCCCTTCACTGTCCAGCCGCCACTGACTCTGATGCTTTCATACATACTGCTCCTGCTACTTTGCCCTTCCTCCCCTCACTCAATGTTCTTCACTCAACCCCACTTGGTCCCAAGCATCTGCTTCTTTCTAGGGTTCCTCCCATAGCAGCCAGTGCATACAGACCCCTATTGCTAATAATTGCATTACTTACCCAACTCCAGCACTAAGTCTGAGGTCCTAAGGGCAGACACTGTGGGTGATTGCATCCTGCTGTCTAATACAGTACCTACCACATAGTAGGTGTTTAAAACACATTTGGTAAACAAATAGACCCTAGTACCAAATAAGATGCCTGGATTAAGTAGATTAATTTATGATGAAAAAATATATAGATTATCATTATAAAAATGATTCCAATCCTTCACAGTGCCTAGCTCATATTAAGTTTTCAGTATTTATTTTGCTGAATGAGTTAATAAATGCAGAGGAAACAGTCTTGACAATGGCAAGATATTATGAAAACAGCATGAGATCAGTCACTGTGGGTCATTACTAGGATACTTGTGCTCACAATTGGAGGTGGGAGTGTGGCAGGATGGCAGTATATGAGGCAAGAAGGTAAAGTGGGGAGAGAGATCAAATGCCATGGGGGTGGTGGGAAGTATGCAGTGGGAAGACCTTTGTGGCATTAAGTTGTCAAGAGTGATTGATCGGATGTGTGGTTTAGAAGGTCCCCCTGTCAGAAGAATGAAGAATGGATTGGCAGAACTTGGGTGGGCTGGAGTGGGTGAAAGAGATTTTGGAAGGGTTTGGGAGATCAAGTAGAAGGCAACTTCAGTAGTTGGAGGGTCAGAACTATGATGATCTAGCTGGGATGAGACTGGAGACATTTCAGAAGTCAACATGGATCTTCCTGGGCAATGGTAGCTGACTCTCCCCAAGCCTTGATCATATTGGTAAGGCTCCCGGAGTCCTAATACTGTCATGGTAGAACAGCTCATGTGCACAGCTCAGGTTAAGGGTCTACCTCGTCTTCTGGTGCAATTCATGAATTACCAATTTAATGAGGTTGTCATGGTCTCTAAAAGCTCATGCAAGCCCATACAGCATCCATGCTTCCACTTAAATTACAGATGTTCCTAAAAAAAAGGCTCCACAGCAAAGAACATGGGCTACTTTAGCATCATTCTTCTGCTCTGGAAATCAAGGGTTGCATTCTGAGAAAAACCGGGGTCACTTTAAATAACCAACTTCATTTCCAAGATCCAAGGACATTTCTTCTGTCTTTTTGCTCTAGTCTAGGTGAAAGGAGGCCTAATTCTTTGGGTGCTGGTCAAAGTTTGATCCATTGTGAAAACTGGTTTGGACATCTAAAAATCCAAGACATAAGACATAGTGTTTTGAGATGTCCCCCAAAATATATCAAAGGGCCTTGGCTTATTGTTAAGACAGGGCTATCTTGCCTTCCGGTAGGGCTGATGTGATCCTTGGTCCCAGCTTGATGGTGCGTCACAGGTTTATGACTCCCAGAAGCCGTTCTACGAGGCTATAATAGAATGAGGACTGTATGTGTGGTATACTTTCAAAAGTACCTTTGGGTGGACTGGCAATTGACTAGAAACTCTGCCAACAGGAAGCCTGCCGCTGCATTGCTTTTTCAATAATGACTGTGGGGAAAGAGAAACATACTGAGTTTAGAAGGATGTTTTTAAAAATACTATATAAGAATATGAAAACCTGAATTACTTAATTTTAATTATTTTAGGTAAAGGCAATAATAATTTGAGGTGTCCCCATGTCCTCTATTTTTGTTGCTCTTGTCCCAGTGTTCTCCCAGCGCCCCTCGCCCCAGACCCAGGGGGACCCGCGGTGGAGCCAACATCTGAGGCTGCCTGTCCCGGGACAGCTCTGCCAAGCCTGTGGACCAGGGCTGAGCACACGGTCCGTGTTGGGGCGAGGCGGGAGGCGGCCACAGCCCTGTCACCCCCACTCCCCCGCCTCCGTCTGCCCGCTCCCGCTGCGCCCCCTCCCCGGGGGCCGGGCGCCGGCCAGAGCCCCCGGGGCGGGGAAGGGTCGGGCCGGGGCGGGGAGAGGCGGTCATATAGGGGCCGGGAGGGGCGGGGGCACCGCGCCTGCCCGCCCGCGGGCTCCGGGAGCGAGAGGCTGCCCTCTCCGCCGCGCCCCCCTTCCGGCTCCGAGGCCCCGCGCCGTCTCCGCGGCCGCTCAGCGTGCCTGGTGCTGCGCTCCCGCCGTGCGCCCTGGGCCCGGCCGCGCGGTTCCCCTAGGTAAGTCCTGCAGGGCGCTGCGGGGGGTCAGTAGTTTCGTGGGAGGGACGGGCCGGACAGGCGACTGCAAGGACCGCGGGGAAGAAGGTAGGTTTCAGACTCAGAATCGCCCCAGATTTTCACCTCCTCCAGAGTTAGCTGCCTGCATCCCTCTGTTGTCACTCTCTGCTGCAGGCTCTGTGTGACCCCCGCACACTGAGTGCCACCAGGGCTGAAAGGTGCCTCTCCCCACGCCCCGTAGGGCGTGATGTGTGTACGGCGGGCTCCCCGGACTCCACAGGACTGATGAATGAGGTTGACCTTCCTGGGGCAGAAGGCGTCCCTCCCAAGTCTGTGCAGGTCCACCCTGTACTTTGCTTCCCTACCTTATCCGGAGTTATTAAAGATGGTTGGGTTTTCATTGTTGTCTGAGGGAAGAAGGCAGAAAAAACGCCCTTTCTGAATACCCAGTAACGCCTGCAGCGCGTGGAGCTGCACTCTAGGCTCAGGATGGACTGTGCAGATAATTATAATGCGCAGAGGAGGCGGGCTGAAGAGGGCAAAATATTGAAACTAGGGAACGATTTCTTTCCTTTTGTGTCCTTTTGTGATAAAGAGATTTCACTTCTCTTTTTAGAAGTCTACTCCTTAGAGATCCTGAAAGATAATCTTTGCCAATGGGAAAAAACAATTTTGATATGGGACAGGGCTGGTGATATCTCTTAGGAATAGCTGACATGCTGGTGCACATCATAAATAAGCCTTGATATACAAAGGATGTTAGAAGTCTTCTGTTAGAACTTTCTATAATTACACAATCAGCAGTCACATTGCTTTTTTAAAGAAAGATCTGATTGATGAGCAGTCTTTTAATATAAAATTTTCTGATATGCCATCTGGAAGTTACAATGTTGTACTTATTGTTTAGTGAGCCCATAGATGGGTTCACCTACTTAAAAATCTTGATGAGTCTAAAAAGTATTTTAAAATACATGACCTTAAAAGTTTTTTCCTTATAAAAGAAGTTGCTAATTTCCTCTCCTCTCATTTTATTCTAAAATATTAGTGCGGAGGAGAACCTGAAAAGAAACTTACCTTCCACTCAAAAGTACATAGATTTTGGACATTGTCCCACATGAAGTGAAATTTTATGATGTACATGAAAGACTTTATGTTTAACACTCATCAGAGAATCATCTTTAGCTTTTTTGGTATCAAGAACCCTTCAATTTTACTAGAACTTGTGAAACAATTCTCAAGAAAAATCATTGTTGAATATAATGTACTTGCAATTTCCATGTTTCCCAATTCCTTCAGAGAGTCAAAATTTCAGAAAAGTTTGAATAGTTGGAATGTTTATAAAGAAAAGATTTATTTATTTGCATAGACAATGCCAAGAGCAGCTAATTAAGTCACTAAATGAAGGTCAGGTTACAAGAATTGTGAATGAAAGTTAATGCATTCTTCATTCATCTATATACACAATATACTAATAGTCTTGCTAATATAATGGTCTTAAAAATAGCTGGAAAAAAAGTTTCCTGTCAGCAAATGTCCCCTCCCTGGTATTTCTCAAAAACACGTGATTGCTAGCTATGTTGTCTGCAAATAAATAAGTGATCCAGACTAATGAGGATGTGTTCGCAACCAAGGATGGCTGCAAACTTCTACAGTCCCAAGAAGTATGAAGATTAGATTTTCTATACTTCTACTTGTATAAGTGTCACAACTATAAAACTTTTCCAAGGTGATCAGATGTTGGCCAAAATCTTTTTTCTCCCTCCCTGACCTTTTTGTTGTTGTTACTGTTTAAAGTAGGGAGTGCTTTTAGCTTTGGTCTGAAACAGATTTAGGTTCAAGTTACAGACTAGCTTGGACATTCTCTTACCCACTCTGAGCCTTTTCTCGCCTGCCACATGGAGCAGTGATACCTCCCTACCTTACAGGGATATGTGAGAAAAAATAGGAAGATCCTTATAAAATGCTCAATAACTGATGGCAGTAAAGTTTGGATAGAGGCAAATGGAAGCATTTCCAATAATTCAGTTAATGTAGAGCCCAGTTTTGTTCCATGTTTTGACCTCATTGAAATACCTTGTTTCCGTGAAGTGTAACACATGATTAAGAGAAATGCATAACTCCCCAAACATTGTAATTTCCCTTTTTCCTGGAAATGTTCCCCTTGTAGGGATCATTTATGGACAGACCTGTCACTCAGGCATGCTGCTCTCCCAGAAGACAGGTTTGAGAGCAGTGGGCATTCTAATTTCACGACGTGTTTCTTCCTATCTTCTGCTTTACAGTTTGGGGAAACTTTTTCTAGCAGACTTACACTGTTCCCGCAGGCAGAAGGTGGCTTTGAAAAATGCACTCAGTGTTTTAGTCTTTGCATAATGGGTTTATAACAAAAATATCTTTTTTACTTTTAGCAGAAAGGTATTATATTTACATTCTCAGAATGTCAATGTCAATATAAAGGCCTCAAAATCAACCTTAAGTTTTCCAGGGGATGGACAGTTAAAAAGTATAAAAGATCTTTTACAAGACAGTGACTAATTAAAGGCCAAACTTTTTAACTTAAGAGATCATAGTTAGACTTGGTCTTTCTGTTTCCTCTCCTGTTTCCTCATCCTCTCTCCAAATTTGTCTTTTCTTGGGAGGATCCCAAGGCCTTGGCAGGTGAATTTGGAAGAGATTGCCGTGAACAAAAATGGATCTGGCTAATGTAAACCATGCACAGAAGAAAAGGTCCCTTGTATCTCACATCCCTAATGCCTCCTGGCACTTCATATTACTCGATAAATATTTAATGAATGAATGACTTAAAATTTCAAATGTCTGGCTGAAGTGTGCTTCCCAAGTAAATGTGGATCAGCTGCACTTAGAAAATTTGCTAGCATGCAAAGTCTAGGCCAGGGAACAGAGGCATGTGTCTCAGCTTCTGACCTGAAGTTTTGCTGAAGTCAGAAGGCTGGCCTGTCACTGCTGATCCTAAATCTTATCTTTAGTTGTCTTGGTTGACTGAGATAACCTCAAAAGCTAATACTTCCTATGGTTCCAAATAACATGTCAAAGGAAATTTAGTGATTTAAGTTTTTTATGAATAGAAAGTTTCCCCAAATCCTCACACAGTAGAGGGGAGGGAAGAATAGAAAGTAGAAACTAACTAAATTGTATTAATGCAAACCTCAACATTCCCCTCAAGTCACAGAGACAGGATACATATAGATTCAGCCATTCTTCAACCATTCACAATCACAGATTGGGCATTGATTTGACTCTAAAATGTCATCGTAATGCTCTAATTGCTGTATCCTAGACTTTAGAGGGGGAAAGTTTTGCCAGAGTTCATTGGCAAAGGCATTTGTGTTGGCTTGAAAAGCATAAGCTAATCACTTATTGAGTCCTTGAAAAACAACTTGATTAATGTTTGGCAAGAAATCCTGACTGAACGTCTCCATTACATGAATCCAAATACAATAGGACTTTGAAGATCGTAAGCTAGTCATAGTCACATTTGGCTATTATTGTTTGGTGGAAAAATCCCCGTGTGTCCCATGGCTCATGTGCCATCTTTTGGTGCCCCTGCCCCCCCAAGCCAGTTAACTGGATGATCACACTGACCTCAACACTTCTCTGGGACAGTTGGAATCTATGGTACTAAGAAGATGATGTACACTGTAGCAGATTTCCCTAATGTCTTTGTTTCCTAGCGGCTTTTCTTTTCTCTACCGGCTAGCAGATGATGTCAGAGCCCTGCCCACACTCCCTCCACATTCACTGCTTCAGTGCATGCTGGAGGCTTCTTCAAGCACCTGTGAAGGCCTGAGAGCTTTCCCTGGCCATGGGAGCATGTCTGACTCACATGTGGAGTGGGGCAGAAGGGCCTGGGAGTTAACGACCCTGGGAACAATCCCTTCCCCCTCCCCCGAGAACAGCTGAGAGTTGGTGAATAGATAACACACCTTAGAGGCAACAACTCTTTAGTGATGATCTATACATTCTACCAGAGGTTCCTGAGAGAATGAGTTCCAGCTGCCCACCATGGTGACCTCCCTGCCCGAGAAAATTCCACACTGGCTTCTTTCCCTGCCTCGTTCTCCTACCAGAGTTTCCCAAGATCACCTCCTAAATAAACTAACTGCACAAATTCTTGTCCAGAATCTGCTTCTGGGAAACCCTGCCTACTTTAAGTTTGTTAGCTATTTCAGTAAATGCAGTGTTTTAGCTCTAAGTATACTATAGATTCTGTTCTGGCAAAAAACTGAATCAAGAGTGGAATTCTTGCTTTCTGCATGGAAGAACAGAATTATGTCCCCCGCCAGGGCCATCTTAGTGTGTCTGGGTCGGCTCACTTGTTGGCCATGACCTCACATGAATTCCTGTCAGCTCTCTGAGGACCGTGGCACGGGGATGTGGCAGGAGATAGCAGCGAGGGCTCAGCGTGACCCAACCATTACACAAAAGTACATTCTGCTGGTTATGGTAGTGGCTCAAGCACACACTCTGTATGATGGAACTGGCCTCTCTTCATTTCTCAAGCGTTCCTGTTCCCTCCCCAGGTTTCATCACCATTTACTTCTTGGGTTGGTCAGGGTCCTCCAGAGAAACAGAACCAATAGGATATAGAGGGATACAGAGGAGGAGGTTCATTATAGGAATTGGCTCGCATGATTCTGGAGGCTATGAAGTCCTCTGATCTGCCATGTGCAAACCAGAGAAAACTAGCGGTGTGATGCAGCCCAATCTGACGGCCTGAGAACCAGGAGAGCCGTCCGAGCAGGGGTGAATGGGTGCTCTAGCTCAAGCAGAGGGGGCAGAATGCCTTCCTCTGCTTCTTCATTCTCTTGGGCCCTCGGGGGGTTTGATGGTGCCTCCCTCACATCAGCAAGGGTGATCTTTGCACTCATTCTATCAGTTCCCTTCTGGAAATACCTCACAGGCTCACCCAGAAGTAACATTATACCACTCCTGATCTCAGATAGGTCGACCCATGAAGTGAACCATCATATTTACCAATTACCCCCTAACCGCCCCCCGCCCCCCCCAGAACCTTTCCTCAGTACTCCAGACCCAGATATCTAACTTCCCACAGGCACAGGACCATCTTCCACCTCCAACCCAACAAGCCCCAGACAGTATTCACTCTCTGCCCCACAAACGTTCCCTCTCCTGTACATGGCACAGCGCAGGGGCTGCACCAGGAAATTCCGCAGCAGCCTTGAAAACCTACCCTCTTCCCTAGCCCTTGTCAACAGTCCCATCTAAACAGTCTCCCAGTTCTAGCAGTTTAATGCCTAATACGTCTGTAAACTTTCCTCCTTCTCCCTATTGTTTCTGGCCCTAGGTCCCCAACACCATCCTTTCTCCCACCCAATGGCTGCTTCCTAGTCCACGTCCCTGCCTCTGGTCTTGCTCCTCTGCTAGTGTTCTCCATATTTCAGCCTTAGGGAGCTTCCTAAAACCTGTACTCTCCTCTGTTTAATC